CCGCGACTTTTCATTAATTTTTTGTGGCTTTGAGTTTAATATTTTTTAGTTTTTTAATTTAATAATATTTTTAATATAGTTTTAATTTTACTTAATTAATTAGCCACAAGTGATCAATTTTTCTCATTGTATTGTAATATTTAAATTTCAATAATGTATTTTTTCATTAAAAAAAATTTAATTGGTAGGCACTGTTAAAGTATTGAAAATGCCTTCTGTAAATATTGAAAATTAAATAAAATCAGACTGAATAAAATAAATCACTGAAATATGTGGTTAATTACGGCACCAGCAGCCCGACAAATTTTAATGGTGAGCATATATTATAATTTTATATGCGTTTATTATGTAGTAAATTTAACAATTAATGTAATTATGAAAATGTAATTTAGTAGATAAATTCGTAGGTAATTGGTAGTGATTGACATTTTCAAATATTTTAAACTATCGAATACTATTCGAATTGTTTTTATACAACCGAATAGTGTGTTTTTAGCATAAACTATCGAATAGTTTTTAAAAATACTCGAATGGGCTAGCGAATGGTTTCATAAAATATTCGATTAGTTCTAACTAAAATTTTTATTAAGTACACTTAATTATAGAAGAAGATNTCTCATTGTATTGTAATATTTAAATTTCAATAATGTATTTTTTCATTAAAAAAAATTTAATTGGTAGGCACTGTTAAAGTATTAAAAATGCCTTCTGTAAATATTGAAAATTAAATAAAATCAGACTGAATAAAATAAATCACTGAAATATGTGGTTAATTACGGCACCAGCAGCCCGACAAATTTTAATGGTGAGCATATATTATAATTTTATATGCGTTTATTATGTAGTAAATTTAACAATTAATGTAATTATGAAAATGTAATTTAGTAGATAAATTCGTAGGTAATTGGTAGTGATTGGCATTTTCAAATATTTTAAACTATCGAATACTATTCGAATTGTTTTTATACAACCGAATAGTGTGTTTTTAGCATAAACTATCGAATAGTTTTTAAAAATACTCGAATGGGCTAGCGAATGGTTTCATAAAATATTCGATTAGTTCTAACTAAAATTTTTATTAAGTACACTTAATTATAGAAGAAGATAATTAACGAATACTTAAAATAAATTATTATACAATTAATAACAGTAAAAAAGTATCATTTTATTTATTTTTAGTTTGTGAGTCGTTAGTAAAAACTGATAAATATGGGTTGAAAATTATAAAACCGTTCTTTTTCCGATGACTAATGATATATTTTCAGTTTTATCGGAAAGGTTTGTTCTATGCGCAACGGAAATATTCGTAAATACTAAAGTCTTATTTTACACTTAATACCTTGTATACTATTCTTAGTCTAGCATTACCTGATCTTTTATCATATAAAGGCATAACACCGATANATAAACTATCGAATAGTTTTTAAAAATACTCGAATGGGCTAGCGAATGGTTTCATAAAATATTCGATTAGTTCTAACTAAAATGTTTATTAAGTACACTTAATTATAGAAGAAGATAATTAACGAATACTTAAAATAAATTATTATACAATTAATAACAGTAAAAAAGTATCATTTTATTTATTTTTAGTTTGTGAGTCGTTAGTAAAAACTGATAAATATGGGTTGAAAATTATAAAACCGTTCTTTTTTCCGATGACTAATGATATATTTTCAGTTTTATCGGAAAGATTTGTTCTATGCGCAACAGAAGTATTCGTAAATACTAAAGTCTTATGTTACACTTAATACCTTGTATACTATTCTTAGTCTAGCATTACCTGATCTTTTATCATATAAAGGCATAACACCGATTAAGAGGACAGCGCGTTTTAAATTTTTAAGTTTGTAAAAGTGGTGACAACAATAAATACTGCTCCTCTTCAAAAATTATATGAACTATTTCTATTAGTCGGTTTATCATTGAACACTTAGCGTAACAATGTATAGAATATGAATTATAGATTTTAATATTTTCTTCTAAAATTATTTTTACTTGCTCAAAAAAATAAGATNGTATCATTTTATTTATTTTTAGTTTGTGAGTCGTTAGTAAAAACTGATAAATATGGGTTGAAAATTATAAAACCGTTCTTTTTTCCGATGACTAATGATATATTTTCAGTTTTATCGGAAAGATTTGTTCTATGCGCAACAGAAGTATTCGTAAATACTAAAGTCTTATGTTACACTTAATACCTTGTATACTATTCTTAGTCTAGCATTACCTGATCTTTTATCATATAAAGGCATAACACCGATTAAGAGGACAGCGCGTTTTAAATTTTTAAGTTTGTAAAAGTGGTGACAACAATAAATACTGCTCCTCTTCAAAAATTATATGAACTATTTCTATTAGTCGGTTAATCATTGAACACTTAGCGTAACAATGTATAGAATATGAATTATAGATTTTAATATTTTCTTCTAAAATTATTTTTACTTCCTCAAAAAAATAATTTGCTAAAATTCATTTTTTGAATATAAATCATTCTTAATTCTCAAAATAATCATTTTACAACAAAATGTTTCGTAAAAAAAATATGTCAAGTTAAATTTTTTAAAACATTGGTCTTATGTAAATTTATAGTCAGATTTATAGTTTTGCTGTTTTAATAACACTTTCGACTAAATAAGATTGTTTAAAAACTATTCGAATAGACTATCGAATAGTTTTTATAAATATTANAATTTTTAAGTTTGTAAAAGTGGTGACAACAATAAATACTGCTCCTCTTCAAAAATTATATGAACTATTTCTATTAGTCGGTTAATCATTGAACACTTAGCGTAACAATGTATAGAATATGAATTATAGATTTTAATATTTTCTTCTAAAATTATTTTTACTTCCTCAAAAAAATAATTTGCTAAAATTCATTTTTTGAATATAAATCATTCTTAATTCTCAAAATAATCATTTTACAACAAAATGTTTCGTAAAAAAAATATGTCAAGTTAAATTTTTTAAAACATTGGTCTTATGTAAATTTATAGTCAGATTTATAGTTTTGCTGTTTTAATAACACTTTCGACTAAATAAGATTGTTTAAAAACTATTCGAATAGACTATCGAATAGTTTTTATAAATATTTGAGTAAATGTATAACTATCTAATATTTTTAATATTCGAATAGTGGACTACTATCGAATAGTTCGATATTTCCCATCACTAGTAATTAGGTTAAGAAAAGTGATAGAAAAATACTGATACAAAATGTTCAAATCTAAAGACAAAATGGATAGACAAGAAAAGAAATGAGCATGTGCTAGATCTAACAGAGAGGAGTGGCATCAACGACAAGGCATTGCCTTTAATAGATGATGATGATGAGTTGCGAAAAATATGAATCCAAATTTGATGGACGTTTAAGCGGTGTCCATTTACCCTGGTGATTCGTATAAAATAATAAAAACAAAAAAACAATAAATGTTATAGTCATAAGATAATTTTTTAGGGATTGAACGGATAATATCACGTTTGAAAATATATTCATAATTCAAAGTAATTAATTTTAAATAAATTTATAATATTCTCTATATTATTAGATCAAAATAACGAAACGAACGAGGATAGCACACGCGTATCACTCAAAGCAATCAAAAACAAGTAGTAGAATGAAAATGTGATTTTGAATAATATAATACATAAATTAATAACGATATTGATTATATTTCAGGTGATCGTGTAAAGATTTCGCGTACGAAAAAAGTTCAATATAATATAATCGTTTCGTCAATGGTACTTGTTTTAAATCGCCGACCTTAGTGTTACCGGAGTGTTCATCAATAATTACCATTTTAAAGTCTCCGTCGTCATTAACGGTCGCATCGAGGACACCATCAAAGTTTGATTGTTGATGTTGTTGTAACGATATTGTTGTGAAAATTTCACCGTTAGGATTCGACGTGGACAATCGAACACTAGTTCGTTTTTTAGTGTTACCACTTTGGTAACGGTTAAATGTCTAATAAATAATCTTCCCGTTGAAGTTCATTGGCCAACGTATCAGTACCTGGGAACCGTCACGCGGTTGGAAAAGGCAATTGGCTCGTGATGATCCCGTTAAAAGTCTGCTGGATGCAGACTTATAAAATATAAATATAAGTAAGAATATAAAAACATTAAGAGTCGCCATGAAGCCGATTACTAAATCGAGCTTGGGAACGTGATAAGACAAAAGATAGTATCATAGTCTGTGATAGTAAACGTACGCAATTACTAGTGTCCTGAAAGCGAAACGTAAACTCGAATAAATTTCAACTCGATCGTTAGTTCGAGTCGATGGTAATGCAAAAAACCTAAAGGTAAAAATGCGAAGAAATCAAGTATCATTGCGTTCGCAGCAGCTAAAAAAACATCGAAAGACTCAATTTTTGAAAATACTCTGGAACGTTTGCCCTGTTTAAACTATATCAAACTAAATTTTAATGTGTACTACAATATTTAAAAAAATCCATCCAACTGATATTGGAAAAATTACACATATACAAATTACAGTGAAATATGTAACAGGTTCACATCGGAGTATTTTTTATGATAGTGATAATAATTGTAGATCCAACAACAAGATGGCGCTAGAAGTACAAAAACCTTAAATTGAACGTTCAGGAAGCACAATACGAAAAGAGGAGCGAGTGTAACTNAAAAACCTTAAATTGAACGTTCAGGAAGCACAATACGAAAAGAGGAGCGAGATATGAATCATGAAGAATTATATTACTTGAAAATATTATAAACTTTTAGGATATTTTGCGTTTTAGAATAAAACGCTGCTATTTTTAAGAAATTTAGAGCAACATAAACGAATTCATATCCAAAAATATTCGAAATTATTGCAGTGATTTTTTTAAAAAATGTAACATTTGATGCGAATTCCTTAGACTCACATTATCATTCACAACGGACGATTGTTTATGGGGATGCAAATAATAATAATAGGTAATTTTGGAAAAAATTTTAATTTTATTTTTTCATATCAAAAACAAATAATAAACAAGATGTTTTTAATGTAGTTTAAAAATGTAATAATTGCTTAAAAATTACAACGAAATATTAATTGAAATAAAAGTTATAAGAGTCAATTGGTCTATTTTGTACTGTTATAAAAAAAAATCAAGTATAAAACGTAAACGCTAAATTAACTATGTATAATTAAAATGAAAACATATATGTATAACCAAATCAATTGAATGAGATTTTTGATGACGTGATTGTTTCATAGAACTATTTATGATGCACTAGGATGAAATATCAATGTGGTACTGTAGGTAATGAAAAGTTTATATATTTTGAATGATATCATAATTCTTCAGTATCTTTGTTAAAACACACGTTCTTCTATAGCTCTTAATTCATAAAAAACAAAACGTAATCACTATAATCTAATTAATTTAATTCTAATTATTGATAAGTCTATAAAAGAATATTTATTTTATTTTTTTATTAACTTTTGCCATGAGGTTTAAACATGTATTGATTTATTTAAAACTCATATACTATTAATCATACGATAAAATTTAAAAGAAAAAACTTATTAGTGTTTTTATTTAGTTTTTACACTATACACAATCAATGAAAATTATAAATAACTAAACAAAATACCACGAAAAAGTGTTTAAAAAAATCATTCTTTGAGTTTTAAGACTTCATCAACAACTTCAGTAATCGAATAAACGAATTTTTCTTTTACTGCAATGTAAATACACTTTTCATTCTTCATATCAAGAGTGCTGTAATTAGGCCAGTTTTTACGGAAAAACATCCATATATTAAAATCATGTTCATAATAATAAATGCATTTATCAATCACAACTGATAGTATATAGAAATCTAAATAAGTCAATAAAAATCCTGAAATATTTAAAAATAATGAAACACATAAATTATTAATAAAAAAAATATTTTCTAGACATGGCAAGTGAAAAATAGTAAAAAAAGTATATGTTATTACGATTTAATAAATATAACATATGCAATTTTAGGATACGCAAAAATTTATTTAATATCGATAGCATAGCCTAATAAAAGATAGGTACAAATTTTTAGTTTAAACAGTTTTGATTTATTATCTCCCAAGCACCACAACTATTTTAACGCAAACTAATGATTTAAATATTGAATTTTTACTTTTCAAATTTCTAAATATTACATGTTACTCAAAAATCAATACATTTATACTGCCAAATGGTGTTTGTACTAAGCTATTTACATGATTATTTTTAGTGATTATTGTTTAAAAAAATTAAAGTTTTTTTTGAGTTTTAAACATTTTGCTATAAAATAGAAATTTAAGTGTGAACGTTATATGAATTTACAAAATCGCAGTAAAAACTCAATAGTTCAACAAACATAATGTAAATAATTAAAACATTTTTTTAAATCTAAAACCAGAGGCGTCATTTGATAGGTATTTATTCCAGTTGGAAAAAAAATTTCTCTGATTATTTTATTTATAATTTTTAGACGTCAGATACTAATATTATATAGTAAAATTTAATTGGTAACCTAAAAACATACGTTTAAAGCGAAAATTCTTATAATCATGTATTGGACCTATTCCTGATAACCACAAATAGAGTGTATATTGAAATTTCTTATACAATTATATAATACATTTATATTTGATTAAATTTTCTTTATAATTTTAAAAGTCCTTTCGTAAAAAATTTCTTGAAAGTTATCTGTTTATAATTATTAAAATGATTTAAAAAAAAGTATTCTAAGATGCTTCAATTTTTACAATAGGAGTAATAGATGCCAGTTATTAAGAAATTAACCACAAGCAGCTTTGTGAAATAATACCAGCTGATCAAAAAATTGCCCCATTCTAGTAATATGTGATGTAATATTCAAGCATATTAATTTTTTACAATAATTCTTAAGATATTTGGATATAAATTATAGAAAGGTACAATTACATAAAAATCGAATTATCTGTCAAACTGATTATTTTGTTTGTACACATGACTATATCATAAAAATGCATTTTAATTTAAACATTTATGTTTAAATAGTTAGAAAGATAAGTCAATTTTAATTGCCCCTATAATAGTTTTAAATAATAAAAAGAGTACGGTTGTTATGAAATAATAAGGTTACATGTAAAGTATATAATATTAATCCAAATGTAAATGCAATCAACTTAAGAATATTGTAAGAATTACAATATATACACACATTTTACAAAATCCTAATAATGGGGCGGCCGTGCAATTATCAACACTACTCAAGGGGAAAATTCCTGAATACAGATTGTTGTGTTTTGCGCATACCACTAGGGGTTACTTATTACACTTAATAATTAGTAGAAACATGTATAATAAAATATAAAGAGTAATTGTATAAGTTCAATGGATATCAGATGTAATAATAGAATCAAGAAATGAAATAAATATTTCAATAATTATACCACTCTTGTATTGTTTTTCCGTATATAATTTAAATTTTTTTTTGCTTCCCAGAATTTCTAAAGCTTCACTACTTGTTTTTGTTTTCTAAGACATACATACACATAAATTAAAATATTCAAATAAAAATATAAAAAAACTGAACTAAAATTAATGTCGGTCATTAGTATTACCTCAATCATTTTTTTCCATAGACTGATGCCTGTTTCTTCATTTTCTAAAACTCTAGCTATACCATTTAGCATACCATCCACTATACGATTTTCCGTTGTATAAATTGGTATCGTCAACTTTTTAGGATTCTTATCCGATGTGATAGGATTAAAATAATGATTAATTTCGAGGACTATGGATATAAAATATTTTTTATCACTGATATCTATACAACAAACTGTCATGTTTTTAATTCTTTCTTCATTAGTCTACCAGAAAAAGAAACTAATTATAAATTTTTTTATTTGTATAGTTAAATATTTTCATTAGTCTAATATTTAATATAAAATTTTTTAAATAATTATACATATAAAAAAATCCGGTACCTTATAAACATTGCCATATTAATAATCTGGTAATATAATAATGTATATTATTTTAGTTTCGATGCGAAGCTGAGAAGGTATTAGTTTTACTATGATATGTTTTTTTTTGTGTCTGTTACCACATTATCTCAGCTCTCATCGAACCGATTTCCTTCAATGATACGTCAAAAGATCACAAATCGTATCTAGTCGAAGACATTTCCCTCGAAAATTGAAAAAGTTCTCTCGTTTTCCGTAAACGGAGGAAATCTCCAAAAAAAATTACACATTTAAAAATCACAAATTTTCGAAATTTTTTTTAACTGCCATAATTTTATCAAAAATAAACAAATCAATATAATTTTTTTTATATATGCTTGATGTCTTCACCTATCATTTGGTATATTTTTTTAATCTGACTCTTTACATGCCCACAAGGGGGGATTTAAAATTACAATTTTTTCAACTTAACTTTTTAAAGTGTTCCGGAAAGCTGACACTTTTATATATATATATATATATATGTTAAATTAAAGCTACAGTAATTAATTTTATTACGGAAACAAAAATATTTCAGACTTTATTTTGTCTTCACGGTGAAAATGACTACCGAATGCTATTTTAGTGTTAAAATTCTCGATTTTATATTTTACATTTTTAACTTGAAAATGCTATAACTTTTTGATAAATGTATAGATCAATACAATTTGTCTATGAGAAATAATACTTATATCCCTCTTTCATTCTAGATACTTTTTTTTTAAATAACACCATTTACCTTTATATATTTTTATATTATAAATACAAATATATATATTTATTCATATTTATTCACTTAAGAATCATACAACTTGCAATTAGGATATAAATAAGAATATAATTTTAATTTTATTTAATTAATTAGCCACAAGTGATCAATTTATTATTATATACATCTCTATTTTTTCTTGTGATGAATGAGTGTTAAAAACTTATTTCCACTGTTAACTAATACAAAAATATTGTTTTCCTATTATTGAATAACTTTAAAAAATGGACTTACGCGTTTTTGCTATGAAGATGACGCTGTGTCATAAAAAATTACGGATGCATATCTTAATAAATTGACATAAACGTAGAATGAACATAAATGTAGAAAAAGTAGTATTAAATTGAAGTAAAATAATTTATTTTGAGAACAAAATATGTCATTTTTAAAAAATTTTATCATTAGTAACAAAGATACAGTTTTTTTATTTTAGTGGATTACATAAAAATTATCTCGTATTAGTCATGCTCAAAATAATATACTGAGAAAACTTCTCATATATTTATCATAGATTTAAATGACTTGTAATTCAACTATTATTAAAAACTAATATATTTTTTTAAGAATAGAAATCTACAATTTCAAAATATCAATGATAATTGAAAATATAGCTTGTAGTATTTAAAAAATTTCTTGTCTTACTTCATAGTCAACCACCTGTGCAATATCATCATTACGCTTTAAACAAACAAAAATATTAAAAAAATTAAATAACAGTATATGATTGTTCAAAACTTAAATTTAAGTAATATAACAAAGGTTAAACAATTTAATTATTTTAAGTATATCATTTTAATAAAATATTTTTTCTCGTAAATATATACATATTTAGTAACTGATCTTTTACAAGACATACTTACAGGTTCAATTAGTTTTTTTAATTTTTTCTTGACAGTCTATTTAAAAAATAAGATAAATTTATGGTGACTCTTATTAATTTTTTTTACTTATAAACATTTTATGTGTGAAAAAGTAAAGTAAAATATGTAAATAACAATAATTTTTTACAAAAAATGTAACAGGTATAATTCGAAACTTTAAATTTACTAAATACAAATATTTAGTGAAAATTTAATTATTATCATAATTCTTAAAATAATAAATAAAAATAAATTGAATAGGAAATAATATTAAGGTCAAATTTTTTTTCTAGCCATAAAGTACAATATGATTTCTTGAATAATTTACACTTCACTGTACTCGTTTAATACTTAAATTAAATTGTATAGAAAATAATTTTTTATTTTTATAATCATTAAAAAATAATTTCAATAAATCAACACGATTTTGGTTTTACAATTTTAGGATTAGGAATTATTCTAATATAATGTTAATTGTACGAAAAAATGATCAAATATCAATTTGTAAATTCAAATAATCAACTATTGTTAAAAAAATATTTCATCGATATCATATATAAAATTATTAATTGGATTGAATTATATACCTTAATTAGGTTTTTATGTCCCTCAGTTGATATTATGTTTTGGTGTAACATCCATATAAATATAATATAATTTAAAAATAACATATTTTTAATGATTAATTTTAAAACCAATTTTTTAAAAATTTAATGAAGAAAATATAGGGAATTAGATTGTGAACTAAAATATGTGTTATTTATACCGTTATTTATACCGTTATGCACTATTTACTTTTATAATTTTTCAAAGCATATTATTGGTTAGATCATATACTTCTAATTTTTTAATGCTATTTTTAAAAATAAAATACAATAAAATAAATATTAAATTAAAATAGAATTAAAAACTGTGACTAATGTCTTAGAAACTAAAAATAGTTTTGATTTTTTTATAAAACAAACCTACAATGTAAATACTAATATGAATAATTATAAATAATGTTTAACAAAAAATATTAATGTTCAAAATAATCTTTTTTAGACGTTTGAGGTAGTTATAATTGTAAAAATTTTTTGAACAATATTAATTTTTGAAGTTTCATTGGTTTAATTACTTAAAATTTAATACTTTACAACTATAATGTTCTATTAAATTTTTTAAGAAACTTTCATTTTAGAAAATCCTACTTGAATTTTGTAACATTCATATATTTTTAATTTTCTGTTTTATTTCCAACAATTAATCAATACATACCTACTATTTTTTTTAAGAAAATAAAATGAACAATAAAGTTGTGATTTATGAATTATAATATAATTTATAAATTCATTGGTGCAAAACTACTTTTTTTGGAAAAATCAAATTTAATTTCCCAATGAACAAAACTATTTTTTTTTAGTTGGAAATCTATTATACATTTTGAGGAAAACTAAACACCAATAATAAAAATTAAATTAACATTTCATAAATAGTATATCATTTATAACATCATACATGTTAACCATTTTAAATTAATTTATTTTAGTTAAAATTTAAACATGTTTTAATGAGTCTAAAATAAAAATGTATCGTTATGAAAATTACAAAGTATTAAATAATAGTATAACTGACAATTATCAACAATTTTAAGCACAATAATAGAAAATATTATCTCGGTATGAAAATTTAACAGTGACATGTTTGTACAATAATTTAACGCACACATTTAATAAACAAACTATAAACTAAAGTATGAATGACATCAAAATTTACACACAAATATAATTACGTTTAAGATATTAATTTTAATTCCTATAATAATTATTTATTCATATATTATACTTATAAATCATAAAACTTGTAATTAGGATATAAATAAGGACATAGAAGATCTTGTTGTTTTAGGAATAATTCAATAATTTCTATCATTATATATATTTTTAATAGTAATCATCTAACAAAATTAGTATAATATGACATATAAGCTGCAATTTCTTTCAACCTAATGTGAATATGAAGCAAATACATAAATTAAATGCTAAGTAAATGTATTTTCATCAACTTGGTATTCTCCTGAACTATCAGTAGTTTCAGTTTAATCAAAAAATCCGCTTATACAGATCATAAACTTTTTAACACGTTTTATAACAATACCATTTAAAACTTTTTCCTCCCAATAATCATCTGTATAGTAAAAAAGTTCATTTACGGTTTTCATAAGTTCAGTTATGATCCATGAGACAAGCAAGATGTTGTCCAAAAGGATTCAGAAAGACACTTTTTGAAGCAAAGTGATGACGTGGGTATCAGTTCAATACATCAAACGCCTATAAATCTTCTCGTCACAGCCGATTTTATGATTCATATCAGTAAAAATGGTGTTGAAAATTTCATGGAACACTATGTTTTCACCAATTATGATTTACCAGCAGAGTAGTAAATCGTTCACCGGAAAGTAAATATAATTGTAAAAAACTACGAAAACAATTTAGGAACTGCTGAGAGTCAACGGGGGTGAAATAGGCAGTAAATATTGTTAATGTCTATGTATATCTGAACTGAAAACCCATGACGGATAAGGTAGTATTTCATTTCTATTAACTTTTCAGATCAAGAGTTAAATATACTATTAAACTTTTTATGTTTATTATACATTTTAGATTTTAATACCGATTCAAGCCACAATTTCGAATAAAAATATTGAAGGGGTTTGCGTAATAGTTCCTGAGAATATGAATATAAAATAAGGATCAGGTTTGATTTATTGAAATAAAAATTTAGTAAGTAGTAGCAAAATTAGTTGGCTACGCACACATATTTGAAATAGTTCAAATTTTTGGTAATTTTACCTCATTTTGAAGTTATATTGGCAAAAAATTCAAAATAAAATTACATAATTTTTATATTTTTTGATATCACGTCATCGATTGATAATACTTTATTCTGTACGTGGAACTGTCAAACTCAATCATTTTATTTTATAACTCCAAGATAATATGGTTAAATAAATAATGTGCANATAACTCCAAGATAATATAGTTAAATAAATAATGTGCTTAAAATTATTCTTAAAGTAATCTACACACTGAAGTATATATTATTCATTTAAATTTAGGATTGTTAGAAAACATGTTTAAATTCAGATACAATATGTGATAATATACGTCTAACAATTTTTAAATTGTTAAATAATATATATATATAAATATTATAATCGATATATTTAAATACTGTAAGTGAGTACACAAAACTCCTAATATAAATGAAGTAATTATTTTTTTTATAACAACAATAAGATTAAATTTTTATTAAATTTAAAAAAAAATTAATTTTTTGTTTACGGGTAACAGAAACGAACAAGATAATGTTGGTAAAGTAAATGAGTTTTCAGCAGTGGAAAATAGGTTGAATTGATTGTATTATAAAAAATTGTTTCAACATAACTTGATTATATTTTTATTTTTTAAATACAAACTCATAGGTAAAAGTATCTTGATTTTATCAAAAAGATAGATTTTTTCTGTACTTTATTGTTAAATGATTAATTAATTATTATAGACCAACAATGAAGGATGAAAAGTAAAAAAATATATGTTTGTGTAAGCGATGAGTTCACGGAAAATTTGTCGTTTTAAATTTATTTATTTATTGGAGTGCTTCGAGTTTATTTGACATGTGAGCTGGCTATACTTAAATTTAATCTGAGCAATAAATTGCAGTTTTGGAGGACAAATTTATTTGGTAGTTAGTGTAAAATGATTTTTTTTTTTCATTAATATTTATCATAATAATATAAAATTTAGCCGCAAAATTTTATCTTGCATACGAAATTAAGCAAATTTTGAACATTTTTGTTTGAAAAATAGTGTATTTTCATTTTTAAAATTATTATGATAAAATATAATGAAATCTTTATCGTGCGTCGCTGCGATTTCAAAAAAAAAAGAAATTCAAGGAAACTAAATAATTCAATATTCTATAATGGTTGTCTATATAGCACACCCTGATCAGTGTCGCCCACAAATCTTCTAGGAGACGCAAAAATGATTAACAACAGTTTACGCTATGAAGCAATTATCCATACCCCATGGAAAAAGGGATTCGTGATCTCCCCCTTGAAATTCCAACGATAACATAATATTTTACTGAAAAAGCATAATGGCGACGGGATATAGTTGAAATATATATATAGATGATATTTGAATAAGACTAACATTACTGTTATAAAAAAACGCTTCATGCGTATCGGTTAAATTTATTGTTGCAAATTTTAAAGTCATAAAAAAAATATTATCGGTACAGTTTTCTTTTTTTCGTCACACAGTACTCTTAAATAGGTTTAATTTAATATAGGTTTTCTAACATTCCGGAATATTTTCAAATTATAAAATAAAGTAACTAGTTTGTAATAAATTGCGACTTTTTTATTTTGACTGTCGATTTCTAATAGTAGAACAATCGCCGTACAATAATTTTTTTACTATTGTAATTCATATCTAAAGCCATAACTTAACATAGGATAAAAGTAAGCATACGCGGGGAAAAAAATGTTATGCTTATGATTAAACATAAGTAAATTTCATTTAGAAATTTATAATCGTATCACAGTATTTTAACTTCAATAGGAAAAGTGCGCATGTTAAAGTTATCGGTCGAAAAACAGGTAAAATCGAGTAGGCGGACACATTTCTAATAAAATATAGTAATCCCACGGTTTAGAACGTTGTCACGAGCACAAACTGTATCGGTGGCTAAGAAGGGTGCGGTGTATCGTCCGAATTTGACTGATCGGTTAACGTGTGTAGTATAGCTTACACATTTTGCTTATATGGTGCAAACTGGTGTAGGGGTGAAGCGTAAAAGGGATTTTTTCTCTAAAAAAACCTTATGCATTTATTATTTATAATGTCAATCGTACAGGACTATGGAAATAATAGCGGCTATTGTGAATGTTATACGAATATGCTAGTTGCGGTTCTATTCTATATAAAGAAATCAAAACGCCCAAAAGCAGTTGACAAAGGCTGAAGACAGCCCCATCCATCATAGTCGCCTATAAAACATAAAATATACATATATTGGTGATGTGGTCACATACACAGGAAAGGGTGAATTTACAAAATGTCCAACAACTATGCCAGTGACGACGTGCACCTGAATGTCTACAGAGACCTTTAACATGATGCGAAGGCTATATAGTCTATCATTGGTGTTGGTTAAAATTGAGAGTTTACGAATTTCAAAGTTTTCACTTCAGATAGTTGCTGATCAGACAACCGGCAGTAATCCCATGAGTCTGTGTTTGTTCATTTCCTTGTAAGTAACATCAACACTTAATGCATTTTCAATGTACTGCAAAACATAACTCTCAAAATGTTTTCTAAGTTGTAACTACAGGTAATGATTATGAACCACTGAAGGTAACAAAAGCTAAATTAAGTTACTAGTGGAAATATATATATATTTAATTGGCCTATAAAAATCGTTGTAAGATATCTTTGAAAAAATTTTAATTAATAGTTAAAAAATCATTATAGTTACTAATAGTTGTAAATAATTCCACTCATTATCATCATCACCATATCTCAATTATTTAGGGTCACCTCTGCTGTAATAATTATTGCCTGTTATAAGTAATACTAATACAAACATCAGTACTAAGGCGATGATCAAAATATAAAATTTAAAACTACACCTAAAATCTTATTTATATAAAACAAATTTTCACTTCAGATATATCATATAAAGTGTATGTCAAAAGACTCAATTAAAATGTTAAAAAAGTTTATAAAATGTTTGATATCATTAGTTTATATCATTTATTTGTTCGTTCGTTAAATAAATTAAAAAAATCATTTTTCAAATTTATTGTTAAGATGATATTAATTATTTTCAAAGGAACTTTTAATCAAATAACAAATGTATGCGTTAGGTTCGCCATTATTGCATAATAGTAATAAAAACGAATAATATTAATTACTCATGAATAGTGCAACGTTTTGAGGATTGACAATACCCTCGTCAATAATAAAATAAACTATAATTATGGATATTTTTAAAGTAATTTATAATAATTAATTTTGCAAAGATTTTTGTAACTTAAACTTAATATAATAATATTAAATTTAATATCTATTGTTGTAATCTTATGCTATTTTATGTCATTTGAGAGGGAAAAATTGTAGCTAATACAAATGTTAATAGACTCGTCTCATAGTTTGACGGTATTAGGAAAAGAGTCGTTTTGAAGGCAATCGCTCTCATATCCGTTGACGGCGTTGTAATCATTATCAGTTAACAAACTGAATAATTCGCCTCTAACTGAACGTTTGTTCGACGACTTTTGATCTTGAATGACTTTTATAACGTTCATTTGACTTCGAATAACTAGAAACTTTTTCATTATAATGTTTATGAGACCACTTTCAGGGTTTTTTTTTTAAGATATTTCATACTCTTTTAGTTTGCGTTTAGCATTAATAGATTGTATAAGTTTCGATGAAATCATTCAAAATTTCATTAGATACAGAAAATCCTCTACTAAATAACAGTCTAGAATGGTCGGCCGGTTATAGAAAATTTTAAGTTTCCACAGCCGGCTTTCCATGATTGAGAGCGAGTTTATCATCAGTTTTTTGGCTAAAGGTGTCTATCGACTCACTCTGGTACATTTCCAAGTTGTATTTATCCATAATACTATATAGTATACAAAAATGTGCTGTGAATTCAACTTTTAATTGAAGTGAAAATTTGTAGTACTGAATTACCTGTAATTAAAAAAAGCTTACAGCATAACTCGGAAATGAATATTTTGAATGAAAATTATTTATTTTTAGTTGATTATCTTAACATTTATATTCCATAGTTACATTTTTTCCATAGAATTTTCTATTTTATTAGTCTAAAAAGATAATAAGCAAAATTCATTTCTATACATTAAAATGTTATCACTTATGAGTTTATAAGAGCTTTAGACCACAAAGTTTCTATGCATATTACACCAAAGACAATTATTAATTTTGTCTTTGAGTTTTTACTTTAAAAGGATTTTACGACGAAGTATATTCAATGGAAATCCAAACGATTAAAAGTGCTAAATTAAGCTTAATCTTCTCTTTTTTTAGCTACGATGTTTTATCGTTACACTGAATTATATACATAATATAAAAGATAAACTAAAATGCTATATTTATATCATTATTCAAAATAAGAATAGCTAATAATAACTACTTTAAATTACAAAAAATAATGTTTAAACCAAAACTGAGATTTCATTTTTATACATAAAACAAATTTTTTTTTTCAGATATTATGCAAACTGTGTTTCAAAGTTTCAGCTTAATTTTTTAAAACGTTTTTTACAGTTTTACAAATAATGATTTTTTTTCAGTTTTAATAAATTTTTTGAATCAAATATTTTCTTTAAAGCTTAAGATTATCCACTAATATATTTTGAATCATCTCATAATAATTTATGTAAACTAAAAAAAAACGTAAACTTATTTTTAGTAAAAATATACTTACTGTGTGTATAAATTTGAGTGTTAAAATTTTAATTTTTAATAGTTCAAAGCAGATCATGATGATAATAAAACATAAAATATCTATTTTAATATTTCGAGTTTATTTATGTTTAAACTTACTAACAACTATTATACCTACTACAAGTTAAAATGAATGTATAAATATTATCCCATGAACTGAAATATTACAACAATACTTAAAAATAACAAAACTTGCAAGAATTTTAAAAATTATTTTGAATTTTCACTAATTAAAATTTGTTTATCATCTTAGAAATCTACTTACCTTATAGATGTTCATCATTATCTATCGACATTGGATGGTTTTTTAAGTATTCTAAATTTATTTAATGATTCACTTAGCCCGATTTAAGGATCAAAGGTACTGGTCTATTACACTTTCGGTAATTGGCAGCACTTACTTTCGCCTCAAGAACTAAAGCCATCGCATGATGAATAATGTGTGATATAATGGAAGGGGAGCAGAATGACAAAAAAAAATCTTGCCTTAATAATAATAACAGCGTAATGCTAACAGCAGGTATACACAGAGTACTCAGGGCTCACGCGTGATGTGTAAAAGTTAGAACAGTTTTGACGTAGGTTTTTCTCTCTTGTCCTTTTCCTACTCAGCCTTTGCACGCAGTTCATTCCCCACTCGGTTCCCCCGGAGGGAAACTCACAGGGTCTTTCATAATCCATCATTATTATCAGCCAACTGCCACTCACTGCCAGCCCTGCCTCCTCCCGACACCCGGAACCCATTGTTATTTTTACTCTTTTTTTTTTTTTTTTTTAACATAGTATGAGTGTTTCTCTCCACACTCTTCCACTGCACACGCATATAAAGTCATAACAACAATAGAGGTGAGGACTTATATAATGGAAGATTAAAATGTCCGGATCACGATCACCCTTACAGTACCCGCAAAGAATTTCTATCAGCTATATTTATATTGTTCAACAACATTCCCTCTCTACACCTTCTATTGGTCGTAACCCGCACACAGTTTTAGATAAACGTACAGGCGCTAAACAACTTATTTTACACCACAAAATATAATTTTTAAATATTACCGTAAATTATTAAAATTAAATTAAAGATTTTCGCTCTTAAATTAAAAAATTTACTAATACATTTTATATTGCACTCGTGAAATTTCTTATAACACTTTTCAAATTAATACTTTTATATTCATTATTTTTCATAAGTAATTCATTAGTAGTTCACACAGGCGCAAATTACTCGATCGGACAGTTGTGGTATCGTAAATTTTTTTGAATTTAGGACAAAATTATGTAAATATAAAAATATCCAATACGAATTAAGGATACAAATTTAGATATTTTTGTTAAAATATCATTGTTTGATTAACATTTAGGTATTCATGTAATATGTATGTATTTATTTTAAATCACAGCAAATCACAATCGAATACAATTTTTCTAATTTTATTTCAACATTATTTATCATAAGTAATTTATATATATATGGAATATTTTATATAATTTATTGGTTTTTTTTAAATATATACACCGAAATATATTACACATTGACAAATTAATGTTAATCTAAAACTATACAATTTTTTACAAAACAAAGATAAAGAAATATTACTTAATAATTTACAATAGTCATAAATAGGAACTAAACAATGTTATGGAATTTTATCGTCCAATAATTAACATATTAATTTAGATAGCGCTTTTACCAAATTTATCATTAAGATACAAATGACGTTTATCTTTTTACAATTTTTATAAAAAGACGTTCAAAAATAAACTAACGGTTTATATAAAGTGCAATCTTTACAAATGATTATTTGTCTTAAGCAAGTGTTCTCTTTTTTTGTTAATTCAGTACTTAGGAATTATTTAAAAGAATTTTACTACAATATTTACACATTTTATGGTAACTGTTTTTTTAATATATGGAACTTAGAATGATATAAACAGAATAACGAGCTTTTAACTACATTGAGTTTTTAAAATATTTTTGAAAAAATTAATAGAATTTCGAAAGATGATTTGGAGAGACCATTTTTCTGCACCGAAAAAGTTCATTAATCAATAAACAGAAAATGCCAAGTGATAACCAATTTATCTTGGACTTGTTAATAAAAAAATTTAATAGTTACATTGGTTTTGCTTTGATGGTTTGAGGAAAATGTAGTTCGCTATAATAGTTAAATCGAAGTATCAAGGACACAATTGTTATAAAGTCGACAGTAATTTTTTTTGAATAGGTATTAGAAAATGAATTGTAAATGTTACAAATTGATTTGTAAATTAATGATCTTTTTGTAATAAAAAAACTTAATTGAACGTTTAATGAATTCAACATGGAAATGCTTGATATATCTGTGTAATATTTGTATATTATGCTATTTAAACGTTGGATTCGTCGCACTTGTAAACGTTAATACGCATTTTTTAGACATTTGACGCAGTTGGAGAGTTACTGGTGCTGCTCGTTCCACTGAGGTGCATGTCTTGCTGGTGCTGTTGAGCCACCGGTAACAATCCTTCACGTTGTCGTTTTTTCTGTTTCATTCTTCTGTTCTGAAACCATATTTTTACTTGAGTCTCATTGAGTTGGAGTGCTGACGCAATCTCGATCCGTCTTGCTCGCGTCAGGTAACGGTTAAAATGGAACTCTTTTTCTAATTCCGTTAGCTGTTTGTTGGTGAAATTCGTACGGCCCGTGTTGTTCATCAGTAGCAGCGCCGCGTTTCCGTTCATCACTTGTGATCTGGTCACCGGCGATTGGTTCAACATCAGCTGTTGTCCGCTTCTATTGTCGGAAATATGACCTTGGCCAAGCATAAGTCCGGCCGCCGTACTCCCAAACGTCGCATTAGCAGTTTGGTTGTAATCGGTTTTGAGTGCTAAAAGATAAAAGTCATTCATAAGTTTTTTTTTTTTTTATTTCAAATAATAATTATTTGAGAAAATTTTATGATTATCATTCATAGATTTCCTATGTACACGTTAATACAATAACTGCCATAATATATGTGTTTATTTTTTATTACACTGAAAAAAATGATCAAAAGTTTTCCATACCTCATTATGGAATTTTAACGCGCATGTTAATTTTACACGACCATAATGAAATTTAGACTTAAAGTAACAAACATTCGTATACAAATATAACATTTTCACCACTCATTGTCAATATTTTCCTAACATTGTACTCATTAAAATCTTCTAGTAGACGTATGTGAAAATTCGAACATTTTTTTTTAAAGTATAGCTCATTTTATTTTGTCCTAAGATGTTTATGAAAAATCTAAGTAATATATTAGATTTTTCTTTTTTAGCAGCAGCCCTAAAAGAATTGTTTTAACGTTTCCCTTTGGTTTTACTTTGCAATGACCGAAAAACTTTAAATGTGTTTTCACGTTTAAAGTTTATTTATTTTGGCGGTAAACAAACTAAGTGACCGATGGGTAAACTTTTGTAAATTATTGTAACACATAGACATTAAAGAATATGAGTTGCTTTTAACTAACAAAAAATATGTATTTGTATTTATGTAATTGCAGTATAATATCTTGAAGTACAAATATTTCTAGAAAAATTATAGCTCGTAAGTTATAATTTATTTATTAGGAAACAAAGTAAGACAGAAAAAAATCAATCAATCAGATTATTGTATTTCAACGAATTGAAATGTTTCCTAGAAATTCAATGTCTTTTTCTCATATAATAGGGAAAGCCTGAACAAAGAGGGTAGGTTTAGTTTAAAAGCAAAAGTGAGTATGAAGTGTTATTGACAAACATCTTTTAATAAATAATAATATAGTAAAATTATCTCGAATTTTAAATTCTGCTGTTGGAGTTAATTTTATATTTATCTGTAATTAGTTAAAGGAACTTTTTTTAAAAATTATAAATGATTCACTTTGTCTAAATACTCCTATAAAGTGAATAAATCTTATTCTAGAAGTAAAAACCTTTAAATATTAATATTTTATAGTGATTTATTTTTATTAAGATAAAATTTACTTGCATAAGAATCCCACTGGCACATTTTCAATTAATAATTGTTACTTGGTTATTATTTTAGTTAACAATGTAAAACATCGAAAATGATTTTGATTGTAAAATAAATTTGAAAATATATCTAACTAAAAATTCTTTAATCAATTTCAATAATAGATACTTTCATAACGGTTTCATCTTATAAAACAATATTAACCCGGTAAATTCTAACTATTCACTTAGCAAAACTCTTATGCCAGAACTGATTTTCGTTAAATACTTTCAATTATAATTACAGTAGGTTAATTACATAAAGATCATTTAATATATAAATTAAAAAATGTATAATTACTTTTATATACGCAAAATATAATTCTATCAATTGTTTTAAAAAGCATAAGTATCTTTTTTTTACTGCAATTCTCATAATTCAAGTATTTGCATATATATTTTTAAAGGTTCAAAGAATACCTTGTATGCTTTACATTTATTTTTAAAAACCAATAGTCTAAATACAAAATGTTAAGTTGCATATTAATACACCTATTGAGTTTGCAATGCTATTTTGCATACTTTGTGTTTTTTTGTGTTATACCGTACTATATTAAGTTACCAAGAAAATCAAATCATGTATAATTTTTTTTTTTTACAATTGTCACAAAAAAAAATTTATCAGCATCTCCTTCTATGCTAGTTAAAATTTATTACTAATTAAGTAAATGAAAATATAACGTGTATAATACAAGTGCTAAGAATATAATAACAAATGTTCTTTCTGTATACACCGAGTTCATATTTAGTTACTTCAGTGTTCATTCTAAAAACTTTGAATTTTCTCACAGAACAAAATAGTTTTACATTGAGATTTAAATTCATTTGAGAAACGTTCTCCAGTTTAATGACATTTTTTGTGATCCGTCATTAAAAATCTTTAATATTTCATTTTTATTTAGAAACTTAAAAAGCTATAGAAATGTACAAAACATAAAAATACCATAAAAATGATCATATTATAAGAAACTATAAAAGTGTATAAAATACAAGAAGTCATAAAAGTGTACAAAATCAAAAAGCCATAGAAATTATCAAATTCGAAGAAGCCATAGAAATGCTAAGATTTTAATGAAATTATAGAAATGCTAAAATTTTAAAGAAGCTATAAAAGTGTACAAAATACAAGAAGCCATAGAAATTATCAAATTCGAAGAAGCCATAGAAATGCTACGATTTTAATCAAACCATAGAAATGCAAAGATTTTAATGAAACCATAGAAGTGCTAAAATTTTAAACAAGCCATAAAAATGATCAAACTATTAGAAGCCATAAAAGTGTACAAAATACAAGAAGCTATAGAAATGCTAAGATTTTAAAGAAGCCATAAAAGTGTACAAAATACAAAAAGCCATAGAAATTATCAAAATACAAGAAGCCATAGAAATGCTAAAATTTTAAACAAGCTATAAAAATGATCAAACTATTAGAAGTCATGAAAATGTTATAATTATAAAGAAAACATAGAATATCTCAACATTTTTTATGAGATTATTGTTCAGTAAAATTAAAAAAAGTGTTTCAAAACATGCTTTTCTAAATTTTGTACATAATTTTTTTCTTGAGACTCACAGTTATATTGTAAATTATAAAGTTGTGTATGAATACTTATAATACCTCGTGGTTTATTAACCAAAGCTAAGACAATTGAAGTTGTATGTGGTTTTAATATTACTAAATGTTTACATCATGTTCATGAAAATATATAGGATATCAATAACTATCTGCCTACTACAATTGAGAATAGCTCTCAATACTTATTAGAACTTTTTTTATAACTTTTTAAACATTCTGTATTAAATTTTATGATCAAAGTGTAGTTTTTTGTTTAGTATTTAACTAAAGGTGTGAAAATATTCATAAAATAATTCATGTTGAATTTTTTTTGTTGCATATTTTTGGTTTTTTGGTTCATATTATTGGTTTATAAGTGCTAAAAACTAAGTGATTTCGTGGCTCATGTGGTATCAATTGTAAATTTGTGATATACTGTTTTGATTATCACGGCCAACACATCTGAGACGAAAGGGTGCACTTGTATTTGTTTTGACTATTTATTAGTATACGATGTATATCATAAACGCGTAATCTGACAACAGCCATGTACGTTAAAGATTGTATACATACAGGTCGCTGTAAGTATCGATTTGAAAAATAAATCGTGTTTTATAAGCCCACAGACGATCAAAATATTAAGAGCATCAATGTCGGATTAGTGTATAGAAACGCCGGACTCATTAGAATACTGGAAACATCTAGGAGCCATAAATGGAAAAAATAAAATGGTCAAACCTGTCAAATACTACACGGTTTTCTCATTATTCAAACGACATTTCAGTAGTGCCTTTAGGGTGATGTTCAAATTACGTTGGTCCGATTTTATATTATTCAGAATCAATGAAAACAAAATGTATTCATAATTTTTCTTTATAAATAGGTAAAATTATAATTTCATATTATCATGGATTTCAAAGCGATTATATTAAATTTACTAGTAAACAGTCGAATTTTACACTTTGTGCGTCTAAATATATTTTTTAAGTACACCTCAAAGTGGCGTGTCCGATGACTACGTTTATGTATCAGCAGTTTTCTCGGGGGAATTGTACTCCCACAGCACTGACACCCTCAGTTGATACGTGTATAACAAACAAAAGTCAAAAGAAAATGTACATTGTGCTTAGGGGATGGTTGTCCTTTAATATACCTTGTTTGTGATTGATGACTGGGTGGACATAAATCGAAACAAGCGTTCTAGACTAACGTTAGATCTTCTGGAAATTTTATTTTATTTACGATTTTTAAATCTATACATTTTATTAAAACTTAGCATTTAATTTTTTCTTAATTAAAAATAACAATTTTTTTTTAGATTTCAAATTCAAAACGCTTATATTTTATGCTGGAAAAGTTAATGTAATTGCGAAAAATAAAAATTTATAACAAATAGAAAACCTACAAGCTATTAAGTAATAAAATAATTTGACTGTTTATTTTTTTTTATATAAATTATTAAACAGATATTAAAATATATTTCATTCGAAAATTAAGGAATTAATACATACGATTGAAACATAACATAAAACGATTTCATTTTAATGAAACAAAAAGTTTAGTGATGACATATGAAACATTTTACTTGGTTACACGAAAAATAACTTTAAAATTATATAGCCAAGACAATGATTATTACAATGTAATTTTTTTTATGACGGCAGAAATATTTTCAAGTTAATATCAAACTTCAAAGCATTTACACATACAACAAGTAAAATTAACCAGCTAGACACAAAACAATTTCAGTACAGAAAAATCGAAGCAATATTCAGTATGGAAATTGTTTTTTAATGAAGTAAAATTGCATTATGTTTGAACTTAATTTTATTAAAAACTTTTATACCCCAAAGGAACATTTACCAAATGATGTTTCGTGTAAAAATGTTAGACGACAATAACCTGAACAAATTTTAGGATAAAGACTGACGTTGCCCTTAAATGAAACGAACGTGTCTTATAAACACGGGCGTTAATAACGTCGAATTAAAGTTAAGTTGACACGCGATACATCACAACCCTTTAGAAAAAATAGGATATATATATATATATATGTGTGTGTGTTTGCGTGGCATCTCACACTTGTGCCGCGCGCCCGTTAAATAATCAACCGAAACCCTTTCTCTCAACGCCCACTTGATCTCTTTCTCTCATTTTTGTTAATATCGCCGCCCCGCATTTTGAAACGACCTATTCTCCAAATCGTGCGCAATGATCCCTCCGAATAGCCGTTCATCACGAACTTACAACATTAACAGACACGGCGACAACAGATATCGTGTATGATAATAGTAA